TCTTGGGTTCAGTGGAGCTAATCTGGTTCTAAGGGAGCTCATCTGGTTCATCCACATCCACAGATACTAACCAGAGCCCTGTCTGGCATTCTCAGGGATCTGTCTCCTCCTTACCATGGAGGAAGGCCACTCACCTTGGGCCCAGGTGGTCCAGCTTGTCCTGGATTTCCATGTGGACCAGTGGGACCCTGGAAAAGATGCAGACAAAGAAAGAGATTTCAGCCAAAGCAACATCACAGGTATGAAATGATCACATTTAGCCCAACAACTACATGTGCACCATCATATACACACACATGCCATAAATGCACTACATTCCTGCACATCTGTTCCCCTGCTGCTTGCACACCAGGGTTTTTCTGCACTACAGCCAAAATTCAGGAAGACGAATCTCCCTCTGTCATTTCAATGTCAGTAACCTGAGACTGGTTTCCACGAGAGAATACTGCCCATAGAAAATGAAAGAACAAAAAGTAAACTCTTGAAGCTCTTGATGTCATCCTCTGCTTGAATATTTTGGTATATATTACATCAAGTGTGATAACAGAAGCTTAAACCTTACTACACAAAATTAAGAAAAATAAAAAAGACTAAATGAACCAGTTTTTATGGGAAACACTGTGGTGTAAAAGATTCTGGCCATTGTGACTTCTGTAATTGCAAAATGACAAAACAAGCATTCCAAAAAAATAAATAAATAAAATAAACAAATCACTGCAGTCGTGTCCTTCATAAAATACTTGATTACTCTATCAACCACATCCTCAATACTTAAGGCGGTGATTGATACAGTTACTTTCAGAACCAGCCTGGAAAAAAGAATTTCTAAAGCTAAAACAGTCTGTGTTCACGATAAATGCCCTGACTAAATGGCACGTCCGTCTGATGATGCTGACAATTAGAGGCAGCATAATATGTCTGCTGTTCTGTGCTGGGACAGCAGACACAACCACAATGCCACACACAGCCTCAGCTTCCCACCACATAATGATTCCATAATGATTCCAAGATTACCTCTCTCTCTACTTAGCCTATGGGTTTAAGACAATGTTCTGTATAAGCCATGTGCTTTCAAAGCCTTTTTGTAGAAGGCATATTTTACTGTCTGCCGCCTCCCAGTCTACCAGCCTATCTTCTTGTCTATCTACCTGTCGTGCTCTCTGTAAAATAGCAGCCCCCGCCCCTCCACCTCATCTGTTTGTGCTCTGAATCTTTACTAGTAGGGGGAGAGGAAGCAAAAAGGTAAAATGCTAAATCTATACATTACCTTGAGCTAATGTAGCCAATTAACTGTGAACATATACATTGATCAGCCTTTCTGACCACTGACAGGTGAAGTGAATAACACTGCTTATCTCATTACAGTGGCACCTGTCAGTGTGTGGGGTGAATTAAAACATTCAGCCCTTCAAGCTGATGTGCTGGAAGCAGGAAAAACAGACAAGTGTAAGGACCAGTGTGACTCTGACAAGGGGCAAACTGCTATGGCTGATGACTGGGTCAGAGCAAACTGCAGGTCTTGGTGGGTGTTCTTGGTCTGCAGCGGTTAGTACCTACCGACAGTGTCTAAGGAAGGACAAGCAGTGAACCGGTGACAGGGGCATGGACGCCCAATGCTCACTGATGATGAGCTTGATCTACTGTAGATCAAACTTTTAAATTTCATTCATCCTTTTCAAACGATTCCATTTGAATCTTTGTTAAAATGGTTGAAAATGAGTAATACTGTACATTGGTCTCTATGAAGAGAAACATTCAGCAGCTATAGTGGTGATGTCACACCTAGAGCGGGGAGGCTGCTGAATTTGTGTGGAAAATTCTCTCTAACTTATCCTCACGACCACCGTTTTCACTCCTTTTCCATATTTTTATCACTAAATGATAGACAATGGTATACAGTAGTATAACTGTAACTATGGTAGCAAACAGATTCACACATGATGCACAGTGAGCCTCAGAGTGGCACAACTGGCAACCAACTGCCGCATTGACTCCAATGTATACAGCATTAGGCATGTGGTCAAAATGTTATGGCTGAATACACACAACAACCCCACTGATACACATAAAGATGTAGGCTACTAACCACATTTTTGTCAATGATTTGTCACTGACACAGTATTCAGACACTTAAGAGTCATCGTCTGACGTGGTTCAGTGGTAGCTATTTATACTGTATGTGTCTATAAGTAACCAAACAGGAAGTTTTATTGCTTATTCCAAAAACACTGGCTGAACATTTTTATATTGCCTGAAGTTAATTAGCCATGATGATGTGCAGGGTAGAGCTTCTACAAATGCCAAAAGCGAACTATTTATACACCTTCCCTCTAACAAATACTACATCCATTTAGCAAAACGTGTCTTGTCTGTTTAAAGATGCCTTCAGGGCCTGTGGCGTGATCACATCATTGCATCATGACAGCCCTGGCAGTTGCATACAGGGTAGTCTTTAAGATCAGAGTGAAAAAATGCAGCCTGTCACTGACGCTGCTGCTAGACACAGCTGGCTGCAGCTGGAACTTAACCTTGGTGCTCCAAAACTGCTGATAAGTAAACAACATTTACTGCATCTTCAAAGCAAACTATTTCATTGTCACGTTGCGTGCCTTCATGATCAATAAAATGGACCTTAACCTTCTTTGTAGTGACTCAGTGATTAAACTACAATAGCTTCTGTGCTATGATGGCCTCTGCAGAGTGACTAGCAACTCAACACATGTTGCAGCAGGCTAAATGGAAACAGAACAGTACTTTTGTACACAGCCGTCTTTCCTTATTTTTCTGATTTTCTTTCATGAATTTGTGTAAAATATTTCTGTTAATATTACCTGGGATTTCCAGGTAGGGTGGGAAAATTAGACACATATATGATTGTTAAAGAAGCATCCACTATATTTCATTTGTATTCCATTACAAGGAGGCAGCCAAAATGCTCCTCTTGATCAACAGATTACACCAACCACAGGTGCAGGTTACCTACCCGAGAACCTCTTTTTCCTGGAGGACCAGGTAAACCAGGGGGACCAGGAGGACCCTAAATCAGAGACAGAGGGACAGTGAGAGGAATGTTGTATAGAGAGAGCAAGAGAGGGGAATGAAGGGGAAAAAGCAAAGACAGACAGAGTATGTTAATGGCAAGCAATGACATGCAGTTCACTGTCCAGGCCTCTGCAATGATGAGTATGTGCTATATTTATGTAAGAGCTATCAAGTTCAAAGAAAAGAGCCAGGTGTTTTCAGCTAAAAGCTTTATTAGGAAAGCTATGAGCAGAAGGGTCAAGTTTCATTCTTGGGCCCGGACTGACACCACCAGCTTTTGGTCAGCCTATGGGACTAACATAACCCTTTGTCATGGAAAAAGGTACTGCAGCATGAAAGACTGCATGAAAAAAACTGCACAATATAAAACAAAAACCACAGTTAAAAAGTTTAACCTATGCATCCAGTGTTTCTTTTAATGCTTTGCTGGAAAAATACTATAGTTAACAGTGAACCACAATATCTGAGATGTGATAATCAAGTTGTCAGACAGCTCTAAATACACTACAGAGCAACACAAAATACTGAGATGGATCTTTCATATCAGTCTTGTCAAATGTTTCCATGTAAACATCTTACTACATTGTTTTTAAATGGTTGATAAAGTCTAGCTGAAGAGAAAAACCAAAACTAACAAAAAAAAAAAAAAGCTTAGAAAATCAAGAGCTCAACATTCACTAGTACACTGGATTGAATTAAACTGAGAAAGAGTCACATTTGTGCAATCAGTGCACGGTGAGGATCCATGGTGTTGGGTGAACTTAGGATGGGTTCAATTTGGGATCTGGTTCCAAGCTGGTAAAATACCTGGATTAAGATGTACCTCAAGCATGTCGTGAGAAAGAGACATGTCATGCAGGTCGGCCGGGGCGTTTTCAGAACTGATTCAGATTCAGAAAAATACTATGAAACCCAATCCCCTACATGTGATACATAGTTTTAATATTTTTGAAGCATGTGAGACTTACATTCTCATTTTTAGCTGCTTGTTCAAAAACACAGAATATCCACTTTCACTGCAAAATGTTCATTGCTGTGCTACATTTATATTCATGGCCATTCTATCCACAACTCCTGCTGTTGATTAGTTATAATTAATGCCAGTATGCTGTATTTTGTCTAATGAGTCATGTTGGCTCTGATCTATGGTGAAATCAGATAACTCACGGATTCACTGAAATGCATTAATGCCTGCTAGGAGTAATTCTGAATTATAGTTACTATCAGAAATAGCAGCACAATCACTTTATTCTGAATTTTTGTGTTAGGACAAGATTAGAAATGGGTGCTCTGGAGCATCCTTATCCCCTGTCAGAGCAGTAGATGGGCACAAAGGGAGACACAAATAAAGAAACAGCTGTTTGTTCCTCTAGACTCCCACACACAGACACATGGAAACTGTGAACACACCACTGTCTTCGACACAACAACAGGGCCTACAGAAACGGAGGCACTGCAGTAAAATGATAATATCCACATGCTTCATGTTTGCTGCCAAAACAAGGGTCAAATCCTTCCCAGTGAAGCCAATTTTCTGAAAAGCTAAAGGGAAGAATGAATCATCGTTTGACCTTGTTGCCTTGTGTGACATGAACTAATCTCAGTACCTTCTGTATTGTTACCAAGAATATAAGCTGTCTACTCTTGTGGTACAGAGTGAGACACTACCAAGAGAGGAAATGCATTAAGGAGGCGATGACTGATATGTTCTCAGCTACTCTGATGCATTCTAGTGACTGTATATTATAGCAGGTTGCTGACTAAGTTTTTTTGAACCTTAGCAATCCCTGGCCTCATTTTACCTTACGCAAGAATGGTTTCAGTGAGTTCTACACAGAGTGATATACAGGTGTTGAATTTGAGAAAAAGAAAGCACTAGTATCAGAGTCAGTGGCACCAAATATCTTGAGTTTACGTATCAGATTTGTAGACACAGAGAACAAGTCAGATTGATGCATCCATAGCTTGTAACTCTTGCTCTTGTGATTTGGCTGTACCCATCCCCACCTTTGGCAGAACTGTCTTCATTCTAGTTTGGCCGGCAATGCCAAATGTACATACAGGTTCTCTCAGTTTACTTTAGGCCAACTATAGCAAATAAAACAATAAATGAACTGTGAACTTTTGTTCTCAACACACAACTTCTCTGTGGGGTTGAGCAAAGTTCCAGCCAAAAAAGATTTGTTATGAAAACCACAAAATGAATTAACTGTCATGGAACATTTAGTGAGAATAGAAGCAGCCTGTATACCTGCCACTGTACTTGTATTTTTGCACAGCTGCAAATCTGTGAAATACTTCCCCTGAGGAAGTACAGCAAGTTTAAACTAAGCAGCAATGACACAGAGTGACCCACTGACCTTCAGCAAATATAGCATTCAAATCATGCCCGCATAAAAGCAGTCAGAGAAGACATGCCAACTGTTAAAGATAAAAGCATAGAAAAGTTAACACTGTGATTATTTTATCAATATGTTTGTCAAGAGGTGACCCACATTTTGCTTGAAAAGGGTCTGTGGCAAAGACTGCACCATTGCTCATAATACTGCAATATGATGTACTCAGCCTCGGAGACGTAAAGGTTACTAGAAACAAATCAGTGCAGGTCCAGGGGTCTCACCTATATACCTGTAGGCACTTTCTAGGTGAGGAAGTGCTATGGAAACTTGTTGGTGATTCCAGATATCTTACATCATTACATATACTCCTACATTTGTACAGATTAGACAAAAAGACCCAATCTTTCTCATGCATGAAAATGTAATAAGCGATAGCTAAAAATCAAAGCTATAAAAGCATGTTCAGAAACAAGACTATCTTGACAGCATGGTTACACATCATAAGGCTGGATGGACAGCTAATTTGTTCTAACCAGGGTATATCTCCAACCTTCAGATGAGTTATCCTCTCTGACATAAAGGCACAAGTGGCTGGCAGTATTTCAGCAAGAGAATGACATGTTATTTTAACAACTTGTAGACACATGAAAAAAGAAAAGAATAGGGCTTGGACATGCCAACACCTAGAAATGACTTCACCACTGTGCCAAAATATTTCTTCATATATCCTGGGTGTTTGTAAGAAGGCCAGTTCTTATACAGTGCTCAAAGTGTCATATAGCCATAAATTAGCTTTGACTGCCTTGTACTTATTTTGCCTTGTATTGATATTTCCCTCTTGATCATGTACAGCAGTGCACTGACTTGTTTTTCAATTCCTTGCAAACTGTTCCATAAACGCCCACAGCTCTACTCATCATTCATTCATTCACACACTTACCAGAGGACCTGGCTCTCCTTTGGGGCCACGGGAACCCTCGTCGTAGTCATAGAAGAACTCTGAGTCCTCATATCCATAATCATATCCTCCTATGTCTACATCATCATAGCTGCCATCCAGATCATGCAGTTCTGAGGTGTCCACCTGATTCTCTCGGTACAAAGTGGTGCTGCTGGCTCTCAGACGAGTCTGTGCCTGCTGGGACCCAAAGCGAGAGTCCCTGGAGCTGGCGATAGAGTAGTTCCTGAGTCCTTCCTTCACTCGACTTTGCCTGACTGGAGAAATCAGGCCTGGGGTGGCATGCTGAGATTGCAGGCTCCCAGAGCTGCTCTCTTCCTCTGTGCTGTTTTCAGAGCGATCAGCATCTCCCTGGGACCTACTCCATTCTGCCAACAGATTTTTGGTAGTGGTTGTAGTTGTGCTATAGCCAAGATCCAGAGCTGCTTGCCCACTCAGGCTAGGTAAGGTGGAGCCATCAGGCTGAGGTGAGGAAGTGGTGGAGTGAGCAAAGGGATCCAATGTGGGAATGTGGCTCTGGTCCCCCAGATGAGGTTGTACTGATGGCCTTAAAACAGAATTCTGTGTGACAGCTGCTTTGGTTTTTAAAGGGGTATGCTGGGTATCTGCAACCCCACCAAGGGATTTTAGCAAGGGATTAGAAGAGGGGTAATTTGCCTCAGTATCCAAGCCAGGATGTGGCAAAGGTAATCGGTAAGTGTCAGCCAGCCGGCACTGTTTTTTAAGGTAGCTGCAGTAGTGCGCGGCAGCTTGGGCCAAGGGGTAGACATCTAGTTGACACACTCGACCGCTGAACGGGGCTGCTTTGGAGTTCATCCTCCCCAGAGTGAGGAGACCACCAGAATTCCCCAGTGTCTGAGATCTCCCCAGGGTCTGTTCCCGCTGCTCCGCCGCCCCACAATCTGCATAAAAGGACACTGAGCGTGCACGAACACCAATAGCAAAAGAGTGCCGGCGTCCATCCTGCCAGTTGTAGGTGAAGTAGATGGAGGCTTTCTCAGCGGTGTAAACCACCACTCTGCGTGGTAGTAGCTGAATGCCAAAATGCAGCCTGTCCCTGCCATCTCTGACACTAAAAAGAAATGCATTGTTTGCTCGCCAGGAGCTAAGACTAACCACAACAGAAAACTCCTCGCCAATCTCTGGAGGAAATAGACTGCCCGCTGGAGCCTCATATAGTGTGTTTGAGTTGAGTAATACCCCATATCCAGAGACAGGAAGAGTCAAAGGTGAGGGAACAGTGATATAAGCAGTCGAAGGCGAGCTTGTCCTCTCGTTGTTGGTGCTGCTTTGAGCTGTAAGCCCCAATCGATGGAGGATATCCACTCCTGAACAACAGAGGAGACACTGATAAGCTTAACATGCAGAGACTGGATCACAAAGCAGGTAGGCAGGCTTTGGTTAAACAATACTATTAAACTCATATAAAGACAAGATAATACAATAAAATTATGTTTAAAAGCTGTCACTGACTCAGGCAGGTTGCACCAGAGCCTCTGTACCCTTACTGCAAATGTTTTGTCCCTTTTACTTTTTAGGTAGGTCTCTAGAACAGATGAAAAACCTGAGGATCTCAAACTCCATAGTGACTCATATGTTCTTAAGTGATAAATGTAACTTGGAGAAAGACAGTGACAAGCCTTAAAAATTAAAATCTTAAAATCAATTCTAAAACTCAGGGGGATCCAGGGTAAAGAAGCTACAACAGGAGTGATGTGCTCATGACTCTTGGGTCTGGCTAAAGGCCTGGCAGCTTAGTTCTCTGCAATCTGAAGTCAAACAATAGAATTTTGACAACTAAAAAAACCTCTTGTAATAATCAAGGCATTAAGAAATAAAGTTATGTAAAATTGCCTCTGTGTCGGCCACAGCTGTCAGCGGCATAAAAACATAATTGAACCAGTTTTGTGGCATGTTGCTCATAAGCTAAATTACTTCCAAAATTCAAAGCAGACACTTTTGCACATCATGCAGCCCTAAGTGAACCACTTACAAGTAACCACATAACATTTAGCACAGATGTACATATTTGCTGAGAAAAGGTGCAAATACAAAGACTGATGTTGGGATTTTAAGATTTCAAATCAAATCGCTCAATTAAAAATTGTGATTTATCAGAAAATCGAATTTGTATTCATTCCCTAGTCTCACCATGATGCTGGTGATCCCTACTTATTTCTTTTTTGGAGTAAGTACCACAAAAGCAGCTGTGGTCCAGATGACTAGAGGAGACTAGGGAATACTAGAGGATACAGGAAACCAGAGATTCATGAGAGCAGCTTTCTTCCAAACGGTCCTGTCATTCTTTCGCCATGCTCACAGGTAATTCTTCAAAGAATTACGTCTGCTGATGGTGAGGCACAGGCACTTAGACTTTACTTGGACAGAGGATATTCTGTGCATTTTTAGCTTTGACTAAAAAGTAGAGGAACAGACAGATCACTAGGCTGCATCGTAAGGCATCACATGTGTCACATATGTCAGTACTGTGCAGTGATAGTTCCAGGAAAATGCATAATAATAAAATTATTATAAGCAGTATAAATAATGGATGGATGTATTTTTTGTAAGAATGGCATTCATCCCTCCAGTAGAGTTCACTGGTGGCCAGACACCTTAAGTTACACTGTTTGTTAGGTTTTCCTTCCATTTGTCACATGTCTGTTTAACTTACAGCATTTAATGAATTGGCTAGACCGCACAATTTACATCCAAGACTGTTAATTTGTCGCAATACAACCATTCAAAAAGGTGCTGTCTTATACTCAACAAGCGTTGTGTAGTTACGGCGTCATGTTACTTTAAACATAATAATGAATGATCCTTGTCACTATCCACATAGAGAGGTATAAAGATTTTAAACTGAAAAAATACAGAAGCGTTTGTTATGAAGCAGCACCCTGCATTTAAGTATCAGGTCTCTAAAAATCACAGGTTATGGCATAATTTTAAAAACTACGTTGTTCTGTTATACAATTCTTCCTTTCTAACACTGCTGTTTTGGGGAGACGGAGAAATGGCAGATCCAGTTAGAGTGTGATTAACAGAAATACATGGTTCAGGGTTTTCAGCCCTCTAGCCCAGTTAGTGAGACTGTCTTTCTGTAGCTAGTCTTAATGCACACTGATATGTCCTTGACATTCTTTGCCCAAGGTAATGTCAGCCCAGATTCCAATTAACCTGTCTTATTTGGGAAGACAAGCTGCTCTAGCACTCGCTGTGCATTGCTCCTCCTCTCCTTATGATGAACTGATTCTTGCAACCACTCATAAAGTAACAACTGCACGTAATGTAATAACTGTTATGTGATAACAAAACTAAACTAAACAAACTAAACATAACTAGTGTAAAATGTGAGTACTTATGTGCAAAATCTTATGTTTTGCACTCACTGCTTGTATTATATCATTGGAAGATTATTACTGTATGTTATCAGCTTTTATTACATTATGCGCATTTAAAACATTATGTACAGTTATTACCTTATGAGTTTCTACCGTACAAAGTAGTTTACTTATCTGTGCAAGGGCCAGTAGAAAATGCACAGACATGTGGAGATGTTAAAGATGTGCAAATTCATCATGAGATTAACTTTAAATTAGCTGTGCATAAAGTGTGTGGATGATGGTATTTCTGGAAGTGATCCAGCAATATGCCACTCAAAAAACAATACAGCCACTTAACTGATCCAAAATTTAGTGGCATTTTCTTTGGATTCATTCTTTCTTGCTGAGTGAAGACGAGTTATTTCAAGGAAGTTAACATTCAGAGGAATATGTGGGATTAGTCTTCAACTTCTAACTTCTAACCCCTGTCCCCTGCTCTTCTAACTTTCAAGTCCCCTCATATTTTAAAAACACAGACGGATATTTTAAACATACTCTTCCTCTTTGTCTGACTGACTGGTATACTTTTTACCATGCAAGGTATAGTTTGTTAGCATACATATTTGATGCAGAAGAAAGAGGAAGTGTAAGCAGAGAAAGCAGGAGGCTATTTAAGCTGGTTCTATATGCATTCTGTGGCCTGGAGAACAAGAGCTGACATGTTGCTGACATATTGGGTGAAAGTTAAAAAGAAGAGCAAAGAAAAGAAACCCATATGCAGCCTATGTGCCAATATTTACCTGCTCCAGTATAAAATACGAAGCAATAAAAATTTTTCCCCAAAAAGGTAACGTGCTGCAATATGAAGGGTTGCGCCAATTAGTCTCCTTCTGTTCCAGCACTGCTTCTGAAACCTTAACTCCTAACCATGAGACCTGAAATGGATGAAGTGCTAAAAACTGAGTGGTATGTTGTGACTGAATAAATATAACTAAACGCTGACAAAGCAACTGTGTGGATAATAAAGTCTGACTGATACCCAGTATGCCCAGTTAAGACTGGTTACTGACTTGGGTGCATGCATAACTCTGTGTAAGGAAACTATGTTGAAATATTTAAATACAAATTAGTAAATATATAGCATCACCCGTCTATTATTCATTTAAGTGGAGTCACAAACATTTGTCACTAGTATTTTAACTACAGTATGTACCAGTCAAGACGAAAAGCAACCACAAAATGATTAACTGGTCCATTACACTCTGGTTATGGCTGAATGATCAACAAAGAGAGATTAGTTCCACTAGTCACAGACATACAAACATATAGGGAAAGGCCACTATGTAAAAAGCACTAGTAATAATCGTAATGCAAATGTTAAGGTGTGCATTAGGATTCTGCTGTTTACCTTGAGCTAGGTAATCTTCTTCTCCAGTAAGTACTGTTGAGCATACTGACAGGAGCAGGAGAAAGTTCCACCTGGAGCGATATACAAACACAAATCAATAACAGATCGTGGCAAACAACTCTGATCAAAATTTAACTAAACAGATGAGCATTTTCCATAAAAGACGCTGCTTAATCATTATGAGGGGCAGGTTGCCAGTCCATCAGAGGACAAATACCAACAGAAATTTATGATATCTCAGTCACCTTGTGTGTTGCAGCCTGGAATTAAAACCAGAACTCTAGGAAGCAACCAATGGAAGAGCATGATAACTGTTCACACAGAGGACCTAGAAATTCATGCCTGGTTGATTTGATTTGATTTGATTTATTCTTTCAAGCATGTAAAGACAGTTGATATGTCAACACACATAATTTTACACATATCCAACAAATGCTAATCCAAAATCAATTTGCTTATACCTAGTACATGCTTGAATGGAGTAGGAAGAAATCAGACTAATCCAGTCCTACCCCATGACATCATCTTACCATCATTGGTTTGCAAGCAGTATCTCTACATAGATAATTCTCTTCTACACCACACAAGTAATATACTAAAACATTATAACAGTGTTAACATTCTTACATAATTACATTCTTAAATAATTATCTTCTACACCACACAAGTAATATACTAAAGAATTATTACAGAGTGTTAACATTCATACACCACACCCACAATGTTCCATCTAATTAATCATTAAACCTGTTCTTGCATATATCTTGATTGACACATACCTTTATATTTATGTTTAAACTCGTCAATTCTATTACTATTTTTTATGTCCACACTTAAATTATTCCATAGTTTTACCCCACTTATGGAAATACAAAATCTTTTT